TTGTTATCGCTGGAGGCTGATTTTTGTCTAACTCTTGGATGTCGTTATCGTGAAGTTCATCGTTTTGTGTTTCGTCCGTGTTGTTCGTCATTTTGAGTACTCTTCCCGCAACATGCACTCTATGATCTTTGTAACTGGTATGTTCATCTGTAAAGTAATTGTGTTGCTACTGCCACTTTTACATTTGACATTCCAACTGCCATTGTCATACCCGCATGTACACTTTCATCGTATGAACGGCTGGCAGGCTGGCTGACATTCTGTTCAATCTGTTCAACCATTGTCTCCTTGCTATATTCATAATGGTAGACCTACTTGTAAATCTTCGGTGAAACAGCACATAGCCCTAGCCAAGATATTACGATATGCATGGACATTTCGCCAAATCCAGGGCCTGCTCTCGTTGACTACTGTGATGGGATGTTTCCTGATCTGTCCTCAACCCCAAACTCTACATCTTCAACACTCCAGAATAGTACCATTACAACATCACTTACGCATACCTATTCAAGTCATAAACTTTTTCGTCTGCGGCATGAGTTTTAGCTGCCTTGGATGGATTATTCAGTATTTAAAATACTCGGGTTAGGTGGAATCTTAAGATATATAGGGGGAGACGGTCTTGTTGTCGAAATCGCAAAATACCTGTTATTCTGAGTGAACTACCATCTTCCATTCATCATTGCAGATTCGTAGGTTCCCGGAACCTAACTTACATACATGTTTTTCGCACTTCTGATTGTGTTGCTTCGAGCCATGTGAGTTCCTCTGTGAAGCTGTGCTCTATTCACCTGCGATCCTTCAGGAACAAGAGTGCCGATTTCGAAGATAATGTCTGCACTGGTCCTGCGGACATTTTTGCACCGAAACATGGCTTTAAAGATGCTAATGATGACTGCCGAGCTGAAGCAACTCCTACTGGTTACAAGCTCCTTGACTACTCTCGGTGTGTTCGTTCTGGCAGAGGTACTGCTCTCCTTCTCGTTGACGGTTTCGACGTCACGAACGTTGCTCCTGCCTGGGACCGTTTGAATACTCTGAATGCCTGATTGGAAGCAGGCCTCGAGCATTAAGACTTGTTCTCTTATACATGCCACCCTACCCGTCCAATCATCAGTTCACTATTTCAGCATTTTGATACCTAGGATCACAACATTTCATTAAATACTCTTCTGTCTAAATTTTGGATTTATGGAATTAATGAGCATTCCAAAAAAAAGCACGGTGTCTATCTAAATCTTGCGCAAAAAATAGTTGAAATAAACCGATGCACAGTGTGGCCGATAGACTTGTGACCTACGGGGGAAGTATTTCTCAGGGGGGCGCAAACTTACCGTTGGGCATGGTTAAAAATTTACCTGGAGGGGGACAGATTTAATTACCTCGGTAAATTTGCCGTTGGACACTTTTACCTGGGTGCGATCCGGTAAAAGTGTCCTGGAGTACACATTTACCGGAGGAAAGCACTGTTTTACCGGTACCTTTTACACCCCATCTGTTTCATTCATAGCAGTTTATTGGAGGTACCATCAAAAAACTGTTCTAATCACCCCTGAGGTGGTCCTTCGTTGTAGAGCACTTCAAATGTCATTTATTATACAAAACATCTTTTTTCTTGCTTTTACAGAAGAATAATTAAATCCAAACATTGCAAACTCTTGGTTAACTTTATGACCAAGAGAGGGCGCCATTTCCCTCGCATTAGAGACTCCCTTGATGGGAGCTGCACTCCGCTGGTTTACAAACAACTATGAAATGCACGCATTACGGCCCCGTCGGTTTGTTTTTCGTGGGTAGGCCGCACGAACGCAGAAACGTGCGATCGATTGTCGCCGGTAGCTAGAGGCAAGCAACGTGCAACATGGCGGTATCCATGTATGTTTTTCGAGGGTGTATGATGGAATATCTGGGTTGGATTTTAAAAAGAGTTAGAAAAAACCTTCTCATCACTCCCAGATTCGTCGGGCATCTCCTGTTTTTGCAGTTGTTTAAAAATCAAAATCTCGCCCTTTTTCCGTGTGTTCATACAAAACCCTGTCGAGTTGTGTGTAATCCTGTTCTGACAACGGTGTTCTTGGCAGTGGTTCGGGGCTGTCAAGTTTTTGGCGTTTTTTCTCCACCACCATCGTGTTGACAAAGCCCGAGGCCGCATTCGTTTTTTAATTTGCCACCCCCAACGCCAAAAGCTGGATACGCCACTGAAACTCTATGATCTTCTCGGCTTTGTCCAACGAAGCGATATTCGATCGCCTCATAAATATTTGCCCCTATTGGTCAGTGTAACCATTTTCGAGGTTATTGGTGTCCCAATGAAACGATTTGTCACTGAATCCTTAGAAAGGCGCCCATATCATGCGGAACCCGTTAAAAACTGATCATTTTTCACCATCCCAAAACGCTTTAACCAGGGTCTCACAATTATAACAAAAAAAAAAATATTACCGTTGCGGACAGCTTTTCGACTTCTCTGGAACTCCGTAGCTCATTATTGGGGGCGCTATTGTCGAGGCCAATAAGATATGGTTGCACTACACCCCACCAAATACGCACTCACAGAAAACAGTGCAAAATCAGGCCGAAATAGCGCCGCCTGACTCTCGGGAAGAGATTGGCCACCGTTTTTTCTCTGGAAATTCAAACTTATGGCCAGAAGATCACTTTTCGTTTCAATTTTATAGGGGTAAGACAGGTTTTGGTTTTTTTTGTGTGTGTTTTTTTTTTGTTTGCCTTCCCCCAAAGATACCCCTAAAATAGTTGTAAAACTCTGCGCTCAGCTCTGAATGTATGCCCAACTCTGTCCAAAATAGGCCTGCAATTTGGGGCTTTTTGTGAGAGAAATACCCCGAATGGAAACTACAATTCCAAAATTCGGGGTTTACAAAAATATTTCTATGATCCTTCGTGATATGGCATTTTTTTTTTAACGTGGGATCGCAAAATATTAATGAGTTTGCAATTTGGTGGAATGCACCCTTATGAAGGGAGAACCACAAACGCATAGACCACCGGGTCCTATTCAAAACTACAGTTTTTTTCGTAATCTGCACAGCGCCGGATCCTATTCAAAACTACAGGGTTTTTTTCGTGATCCGCGCAGCGCCCGTCTAAAATCTAAACTGTGGGCGAATTCACCCCTCGGTATCTGCCCCGAGAGGAAGTGCATCCCCAACTGACGGAAGAAAGACAGGTGGTTACAAGCGGGTTCTTGCACGCGTTCTGCCTCTGCGTAAAGACCTTACATGCTGGAATAAATTAGTTACGCGTATTCAGCGTGCTCCGCGCCAAACGCGCATATACCTGCACGCTTCCTGGCACACCAGGTCCTGTGCGGTGAGTACCAAAAAAACACGCCCTCTTTTGTTCCGCTCGTAGCGGACAGGGAATTAAGGCACAGTTGATGAAATACAATTCAGCCATAAAACTCTATGAAGCTGTTTTAAAGTAGAAGTATGAAGTAGTTTGCAAGTAATCATAAGTTGGATTTCTTGACTGAAGTTTGTAGTTTTTACGGTTACAATGTTACATCCAGTTCTTTAATCAATACACTGTCTGTCCCAATAACTGAATGTTAAATGATTCAATTACTCTGGCAAATAAGGAGCGATTTTTCACCAACAAACGTAGCTAAATGTATTTTGAGAGATTTATTGTATTTCACTCTAGCAAAGAAAATTCCAAGACGCAAAATCTTCCAAGACATCAAACCCTTGTGAATCTTTCAAGACACAGAGACCTTGTGAGCGTTTGAAAGACATGAAAACCTTGTGAGTCGTCAACAAGACATTTCCAAGCATTTAAGACTGTCCAGACCTTCCTAGCTTTGGAACTATCCAGGATTCCAAGTCTTATGCTTTTAAACTTGCCGGGTGTTCCAAACCTTATCATCTGCTGGGTCCTATCTACCAGGACTTCGGACGTGGTCGAAGCTGTTCGCCCCTTTTGACTCGCAACACCGTGAACTTTTAATGATAGAATTTTTATGATTTGTGAGTAATCCACTTTGGTTTCCCATTTGTGCAACCCTCTGTGATCTCATCATAATCAATTAGATCGAATTATCAAAAAGGAAGTGTAAATTGTACAATGGGATTATTGTAAGTAAATCATTCTTATTGATTACTCCAGTAGTTGCTGTTCCATTAATTTGTCACTTACGGTTGTGTCGGTGCTACACCTGGGAGCGCGCCTCAGGTCGGGATTCTTGAGTTTGAGATTTTGGTCCTTTTTTAAGGAGCACGTACATTTCACACATACATCTTAAAACAACTAACCCTAAAGCAATTTTTTCTCGAGTCACCTTCGGAGCATCCGGTGTTGGGGAGAAGGCTGAGAATTATGACCTCATTCGGGTCCAAGCCCCCACGACACCTCAACCCTGACAGATCCTGGTTGCTCTTCTGGATTCCATGATTTCCTCCTTCATCCTGTTTCTCACTTTCATGGAATCAAACCTGTTCGATATTTTAACGAGTTCCGGAAGCCAATTTCGAAATCTTATCACTTAGCGTGACGTTGTAGCAACAGCGATATCGTGCGCAATACTGACACCAGTGAATACCTTAGCACCGATTTCTTTCACTGTTTACTGGTTGAACGTTTTATTCGTCTTTATGTACTTGTAATCAGCGAGCTCGCACGTGCGCATTCACGCGTGAGCCGTGATGCAGTCCAATCCCTTCGGCAACTGGCTATTCTTATTATGGTAAAAAAGATCAACAGAGTAATAAAACATTACCCTTTAGAGGATGAAGTCTGGAGGTACGCGGATTTGATAAACTTTTTGCTCAATTCGGGACCCAAGGGAATGACTAATAATGAACTCATACCCTCGTAGCATTATTTGCTATCTGATGTAATTTTAGTTCCGTTTACGCAATATGACGCAAGCCTTGGGATGGACTTTGTTCTGTCAACGAGTCTGGTTGACCCATCCGGACCTATGGGGGTGACCTTCCAGAGTCAGACTTAGTACAGTATGTCGTGAGCCTTGCTCCTGCGCACACCTTCAAGACAATTTCTGTCAATGAAAATTTATACCAGCAACAAAATGGATAGTGTTGACCATCTGATCTTTGTCATTTTCGATTCTTGCTCTTTAGGGTCTGGGTTTTTATACGCAATTACATTTTTTTCTGTTTTGTGGCTATTTCTGAGATGGAGGACAGCGAAACCAAACTTTGCTCGTGGCCCATCGTTTCTCATGTCACATTTGCTCCTATTGAAGGCAGCTTTAACGAGACGAAGTGCCCCTCAGCTCTTATTCACAGACATAGCAAAGACATACGGCCCAATATACAGGTAAGCTAATTTTTTAATGTGAATTTCTTTGTTTAAATATGCGAATTTTACTTCTGCACCTCAGTTGAGTTATATGTTACATCGCGCAGCACGTCTAGCGCAGATTTCCATATATCGGGGATTTAGTACAGTTTACCCGAAGCTATAAGCACGTCATTAGTTGATGCTCAGTTACTTGTTTTGTTTTGTTTATTTAGTTACAGGGTAAAAATTAGCAACAAAATGGTATGAATTTTATCACCCCGGCCCCTGGTCAGTTTAAAATGTATTAGTTTAATATTGGCGCAATAAACTCAGGGGTTTTTGTCTCACCACCTGGACTAAGTCCGCTCCATATGATCTTCAACTGCTGATGAATTGTTATTAAGACTTCCTGTAATCGGTGGCCAACTGGAAAAATGCTACGGTGGTAATTTCACTTGTTTGGCCTGGTATCATTCAAAGACCAGGTCTGTCGATCAACATGACATCCAGGTCTGGGCATTATAGATCCTTTCGTGCTCATGTAAAATATCCATCTGATTGAACAAAACTCCGACAATGTAAAGTAATCTTGCCCTAGCAATTTTTTTCAGGCACCCTGCGTCGACATTCGGTCCTTATATCGATGTTTACTTATGATCAAAAATCTTGAACACGACAGAGAACCACGCCGCATTCAGACCATCGAGCCTCAGCTTAAGGTCTTATTTTATCTTATCCAACACTATTACCGACCAGTTAGCATTAAAATCTAATTTCTTCCAGATTGGTGTCATTAAATATTGACCAACTGACATGAGCCGTATCTTCCTTGAACTGCCATTTTTCATAGACTAATCCTTGCTTTTTATAGAAGCAACTATGTATGTTCTATGATATTAACTATGTATAAATAGAATAAGCACGGTTTATACGTTAAAGATTAAGCACCAGATACCTATGAACATTCGAAGGGGATATTTGTAAGCTTTGCTTGCTATGTACACGGCACTGTCTATCTTTACCACATTAGCTGAAGGGTGTTGTTAGCTGTTTTCCCCACTTTTCACAGGCTGCACTGTAGAAAATGATCGTGCAATTCGAGCAAATTCGAGAGCTTCAATGCATTTTTTTTACCGCTCGTTCGCCATTTTGGTGCTTGCTTAGTGTCAGTTTCTGACCATTAGAGCCACCATCAACAGTCGAGTTTCTCCGGTCAAAAGATGGGGAGTGCCCCCCCCCCAGCTTGAAGTAGAAGTATCCAGGAAAGGACCAAGTAGACGTGTTTCCGTTTTTAAACGCTTTTTAAGGATGAATAAGGATGAATAAAACGAAAGCCCCTGCACCTTTTGATGTGATTTTGATTTGATTTTGATAGACAGCATATCCCCCAAGTTTTCCGAGCCAGAGAAGGTAAACCTCCTCCTTGATTTATAACGTCCCTCTCGCGTGAGTGTCGCACTTTTTCTGGCCAGCAATCTACTTTCAAATTGGCTAAAGATAGATAGACAAAACGATCTATAGATTTGTGCTTTTTAAAACGTTTGCAATCTCATCTCAGACTGGTACATTTGCGTCCCAGTTATCACTAGAATGTAGTCCAGTTCAAATATTTCCATTAAGTGTATCCCAACCTGAACTTTTTATAGACTAGTCTAAGCCCCTATATAGACTCTGTGGCTTTTTATAGAAACGCCGATGTGTGCTCTCTGATATCAAGTTTTTAATCCCTTCTTCGTGTTTTATTAGAATCAGAAATCACCAGTTATTCAACAGTCGCCGGGGATATTCCAAACCTCTGTTTACTTTAGCACATGTTTACCTTTTCTTTCACACTGTAAGCACATAACGGCGAAAAAACCCCGCGTCTATCAGTTGGCTTGCTGCTTTTCAGTCACTGCACTCTAACTGCACTACACAATGCTGCATTTCGTCCTAGCTCCTTCTGTTCCTCCCTCATTTGGTTCTTTTGACCAAAGTGTGATCCCAGGGGCTACTGTCACCCCCATTCAGTCCCTTAACCGAGTTTGCAATTTACAGGTTGCAACACAGATATTCTATGGCAGCATGAACGGGTAAACAAACCTGTCTGCGATCGATAATTACACCCTCGTTAATGGAATTCAACCTAGAGCAGTTTAGAAAAGAGCTGTCCTGAAACTGATTTGATCAGGCTACATTAAAAAGAAAATTGCTACAACATCTGGTGTTTACACCAAGATTGTATCGAGTCCCTATTTGAAACCACTGCAATGTTGTATGTGGGAAGACAGCACTGCATGTTTTTCCCATTTGCTTATCATTTGTTGGAGAATTTTTCAGGATTTTGTTCTGAAATTCAAGAAATTTGGGGAAAGTGTGATAGGTTTGAATCAGTAGTAGAATCTTCCGCTGGATTACCTCGCGATTTTGCAAATACTCTATTTTGACGACAATAACAGATTGGCACCAATCGGGCACAAATGTATACGGATGCTAAGTGCGTAATATTTTGACACCAACGTAAAGTGTAGCTGTATTTGTTTCTGAATTATTGTTTATTGTTATTGAGACTTGCTTATTGCTATGCACATAAGCAACAATGACCCAAAGAAGAAAAATTAGTAACATTGCGGCTTTCTCTCTGAGATGACATCACATATTTGCTCATTAATATGGAAAAACTCAATGCGTAAAATACAAAAGGTGGTAAAGTACCCTTTAAAATATTAAAATATTGAAACCAAAGTTGAATGTAAGATAAACGGAGTCACAAAGGCGCATTTTGAAGGTGTATAAAAACAATCGATTGCCTTGAACAAGAGTGTTTTGTGGTGATTATACACTGCCCAATGTTATACGTACTATATACGTGCTTGTTCAGCAATTGTGAGGGCTCAAAACTCGGAAAATATCGTGAGGAACGAAATATTACGAAGACAAACTAAAGTCCCCACACGTGAAAAAATGGTACGTCGGTAACTGTTAGGCAAGAATGAATGAGTCGATTTCTGGTTTGATAGAACTTTATAATGTGAATAGAAAATATTGTTGATCTCTGATTATTTGCGAAAGACAACATCTCTGAAGTACATTTAATTTAAATGACGAACTTAAATGGAAGAAACTGATCATTTCAAACCTACCTGTTACATCATTGAAAGAATTCTTCCCTTTCACCTATGGGACTGTCTTGAACCGAGCCAAACGTCACCAAATCTCAAACAATTTCGTAAACTGCAGCTTTAAGGGTCACACGTTGGGTACATGGGATTTTGGGGGCACGACGTTAATTTAAAAAGTAAAAAATAATTGGTCCATGTATTTCATACGTTTGTTATGGAGGCACCGAGATTAAGTCATTAGACACCGTCCCTCCTTGACCTGTTACATGTTTGATTTTTATTTGTTTTGTTACCCTTTTTTCGAGATTGGTGGTTTTTTTTATTCTTGGACTGCCTCAGGGGAGCGCAGTTTTCAGCACAAATAGATTTCATGCTTTAAGTTGCTTAAGAACTAAGACAAACCTTTAGAGTGTTATTAGAAACATTCTTTTAACCTAGGGTACGTACAGAGTGGGACAAAAACCGAAATGTATTTGCATACAAAGTCTTCATAATCAATACTCTGAAGAAATGTGCAACGGCTTTCCAGGAGTAAATGTGTTTTTTATTTTTCATTAGTCTTTGGATTGGATTCAACTTTGTTACTGTCGTAACAGACTTAGAGCTGTCCAGAGAAGCTCTAATCCGAAACCCCGACAGCTTTGCGCACAGACGAAATGCTGCTGTCCTGGAGAGGATTTTCCAAAAGGGTGAGTAGACAAGGTATATAAATAGATTTTCAGCATTCTTTTTGTGTCACTGAGAGCGAAACATTTTGGGAATAACATTTTTTGAAGGACAATAACCATCGCATCCCATCTTCGACTGTGGAGTTTTGCTTCGTGCACGCAGTTAATATCCTGGGTATGATTACACCTGTCAGTGGACTTTGTTTAAATTACCCATTAAAATATCAAAATAACTGGAACCTTTTTCGCCTGTCTCACCATGAAATGTTTGCCTATTAAATGTACACTATGTGACAAATGCTTGCATGTAATCAACATACCTAGCCCCATCATCATGCCTAACATCATGCCAGCCTGAGCTATAATTGGGAGGGTTGCGACATAAGCGTCTCATTGTTGGAACCAAAATGGTGGATTTTGCGGCAGTGGACATTTAGCACGTAATAGCTGCAGATGCACAGCTGCACACATAATGAACAGCCATTCTGATTCAAAAGTCTGGAGTCGCGGCTATACATATACTTTCTCTGATGCCAGCTTTTGTTAGGAAACACTCTTCTTTCTGCATCTGCTGACAAAAGACTTCCGTGTGTCCTTCTAGATGTGAGATGTTGTCAAAGTTTTACAGATTCTGGTTTGTTTTCAAACTACAGGGGGTGGTATTATTAGCGAATCTGGCAACCCTTGGAAGGAGCGTCGCCGCTTCGGTATGAACGCCATGCGAATATTTGGTGCTGGTAAGCGTCGCCTGGAGCCTCGAATCAACGAGGAAGCGAACTTTCTCGCGCAGAGCTTTGCCGACCACTGCGGACAACCCTTCGATCCCATCCCCCTGGTCATCAACGCCGTATCCAACATCGTCGCCCAAATAAGCCTGGGGCAGCGATTCGAGTACACGGATACTAGCTTCCAAGCTGTAGTCCGGATCATGCGAGATCTCACTGAGGTGGGCATACTAGAAGTGGGCAATGTGTTTCCCGCCCTTGCTGACACTTTCCTGTACCAACGAAAGAGATCCGATTTCAGACAGCTGAAGGGTTTCATTGAGGAGCAAGTGCGGATCCACAGGGCGACACTAAAGGCAAACGACCCGCGTGATCTCATCGATTTGTACCTCCAAGAGGCAGACAAAGAATCAACAGACTTTTCAGAAAAAGACTTGGACAGTGAACCCGTTTTTACGGAGTCTAACGTCTGGAGATTCATTCAAGACATTTTCTTTGCTGGAACGGAGACAACCGCCTTGAGTTTGTTGTGGATTCTACATCTCGTTACGATGCACCCTGAAATTCAGGAGAAAGTGGGTAACAAAATCAAAAATAAGAAAATAAGAAAACTTGAAAAGCTCGATTATGAAAAGCAAATTTATTGCAGGTAAAGCATGTACACGTGAAACTTATTCAATGGGTTAAGTCTTTCTCGTTCAGGTTCAAGTGGAAATTGATGACGTCATCGGGAGAGCAAGACAGCCTACCACCTCTGATATGGTTTCCATGCCCTATACGCAAGCGACCATTTTGGAAGTGATTCGACACCGACCGGTTATTCCTGTGTATCACAGGGAAAGCCCACCGGATGGAAACGGCAAATTCGCCCAGTACACGGTCCCCCGTAACTCCTACTTCCTGATCAACGTGTACGGTATGAACCACGATCCCAAGGTGTTTCCTGACCCGGACATGATCCGGCCGGAGCGATTCCTCACCGTTGACAAAAACGGCAAACGCATATTCTCTGGGAAGGGTCAGCTACTCATGAATTTTGGATCAGGTAATGATCGTCCCACTAAAAGAGCTTAAATGACACGTGATTTACGGGGACAATGCATCTGCAGTTTGCAATTTGAGGCAGACTGCAACATTGATAGAAAATGAAATTCAAGATGAACTTAACAAAAACAATGCCAGCCTTTTGTAGTTACGCTGGCGAGTATACTCCCAGGTAGCTGAGATGGTTTCAGGAATGCTTAGATAATGTGTTAGCCCAATGTACAGGGATAATGATAATACAGCGCCTCGGAATTGTTTCCTAGATAGATGGCGCTTCACAAGTGCTTATTATTATTATTTCATTCCACTACACCACAACACTATAAAAATTGAATTTCCAAGGCCCAAACCTACATTATAACTTTAAAGAAAAACAGAAAACATTCCAATATGGCTAAAGTACTGTATGTTAATCAAAGGCTAGACGACACCACCTGTATAGCTGACAAACTAACGCAAGTTCTTATAATGAATTATATTCCCGCGTAAAACAGGCAAGAGGGCGTGTGTCGGGGAAAGCATGGCCAGAACAGAACTCTTTTTGTTCGTCGTCAACCTCTTCCAGAGATTCACCTTCACCTTCTCGGCAGAGGATGGCCCACCTAATCTAGAAGGCGTCCCGGGCCGTATTTGGAGTCCTTTGCCCTTCAGACTGTGTGCGGAAACTCGCTTATAAGAGTCTAGAGCATATATGTACCTCTTTGTTAATGCCAGTTAGTTGCGATATGAAGGTGCGCCAAACGTCACCCAGCCTGACAAAAACCAAGGATTTGCTAATGTTTGAGTCAATTCAAGCAGATGCCTTGGCAGGGTTGCCTGTTATTTTTGGCCGAGTTTGTAACCATGGCAGGGTATGGCAGGGTATTTGCTGACATGATAGAGATTTCAAAATCAATTTGGTTTCCCTGCAGTCACGACAACAGGGTTCTTCACCGTTTTTCCTATAGACGCACTAAAGAGGTTTTTCACTTGACGTAACAAGACGAGCAAAGACATTCAGGAAGCGTACCATTTCGTGGAGGCGTGTGCATTTCCCAATCTGGATGTTTCCATTGGCCATTTCACGCACCGTACTCAGGAGTGCTAAAACACTTCGAAGACGCGCGTTTCGGCGTGTATCTGTGTAAATTGAACGCTGACCGTCAAAAATCATGTGACTGAAACTCCTCTACAGTGTTGTGACACGCTGCTCTGTTGCCTTTTAATTTGATGACTTTTGTATTGAAATTGCATGGAAATAGACAAGCAGTCGAGAAAAAAATCGGTATTGAGGCAAAAAACATTTTTCCGAATAACTTTTATGATGTCACCATAAAATTAATTTTGAATTGCTAGAGATATAGAAGATCAAGAATTAGCAGACATTCTTTGAGTAAAAAAGACCCTGCCAAGCGCAGTAAGAGACTGAAACTTTTGAAAACGAAAAAGGTCATACGGCTGTCAGAAACACAGCCTGAAATTGACGTATTTCCGTTACGCGCGCAGTAAACATTGCACTTTGCAAGTTACAGTTAATTCGTAATTGATTTCATGTAAGTTTGATTTAATTCATGAAAACAGCCGGCAGTGGGTTCGCAATGCACTTGCATTACATTAAGAGTAGAATGGAAATGCAATTAAGAAAGCTTGTCAAATTATATGAATTTTATTGAACATAACCGAAATGGTCTTTTTATAGTAATGCGTCCATGGTTAACTTCTGTGTCATCGAATACTTCTATAGTAAATGTAACTGAGAAACATTTAGAAAGACCCTTGATACCTTAGAGTGGAATGAACAGAGGATCCAAATAATTGAACACTTCAGGAAATTGCTCTGGAAAAGGTTGTCCAATGTTGTAAATCTCTCAATAAAAGTCATAGTCGCAGGCACAAAGCAGAAAAGGACTTTCTCACCTCCTTATTTTCATATTTGGATGTAACAACACTCTCTTTTTTGTTTGTGTTATTCAACAAAGAATTTCTCCGAACAATTTCCTGAAGTGTTCATTCATTTGAATTCAATATTCATTCGACTCCGCCGGGGTTTCAACGGTCTTTCTAAAAACTTTTTGCTTGTGCTGAATGTCACCAAAGTCGGCATATATGGATGAGATGACGTCACATCCCCCCCAAATAGGGCACTGAGGATAAATCCATTTCGACCATAATTAGGACCAGCGTTGGTATTGTGAGTAAATACTTATTTAGCAATTTTGCAGTGGTGGATACAGCATTTAAGCAAAGGGGGGGTACCCACCATCAACAAAAAGGGCGTACCCAAATAAAGGGGAATCTGAACATGTAACTGGGACATAGTCTTAAGTGCTAGTTCATACCTTATTAATTCAATAAATAACTATTTGAATGGAAATGGGGAAAGGGGGTGTGAGACTTCTGAGAATTTTCAAAAAATAGTTGTTTTGTAAATTGAATTTTATCTTCAATATTATAGTTTTGAAGATAGGTGAATAATGTTTAACTGTATGGAAAGATTGTATCATCCTCCAATAGACCCTTATCATGATGTTTCCATGTTGGTTTTGTTCCCTAAAGTCCCTTTGGCAATAGTAATACAACTTCACCAATTGATAACAGGGAACAGAGTATTTTGCCTGCAAGCCTCAGTTTGGTTACATTGCTTTAAATAGTGTAAAAACCAGCTGTCCAATGATAGAGGTCAATACTATAAAAAGTCAAACTTGATCTGCAGCTATAATCCAATAATACTCCCTAGCTACCAGTTTCTGGTTAAGTACTCGTATATACATGTATAATCATATACTGCTTGACAGAATGTCACCTCTCGCTCCCTAAACCCGTTAGCTAAAGCACTTTGGTTTCACCCAATATTGTTACAACTTGGATGAAGTTCGAACTTTGCCCGTTCTCAGTGAACTTCAAAGTAAGTTAAGTCATCCACTAGCAGTCGGGTATGTCAACAGAATGGTTTCCTTTGATTCACTTGATCGGTCGAGTCAATGGGACATCATTTGGTGACGGGTACTCCAGACACAGTATTAAGCCTCTTGGCAACTCACCAGATTCTAAGGTTAGAGCTGATCAGGCTCTTTTTCCCCTTTCCCCATTTTGTTTAGGCTCTGTCGAGAATATGCACTAAAAGCCAACTCCCAAGTTCTGTCAATGGAAGCGCTCGTTAAGGACTACTGGGGACCTGTTATGGGCACTGGTAGGAACTTCACTTCGGTGGTCCACGAATGACTATGAAATACACACGTTGCGTACCCGTCGCTACCAACAAAACGGATGTTCACGACCAGCATGGCTCTTTTCAGCTGTTGAGGGGGTGTTTCTGTCCAAAGCGAATAAGAAATCTGCATTGTAGCTGTATTGAATTGAATTGGAAAACTGCTGCTTTTTATAGAGGGCGTCATTTGCACTCCATTTTGTTAAGGTTGACCTTTTCCCAAATAAATCCCCCACTACAGTGCACTACCAGCATAACTGCGTGGGGGCCTACGAACGAATAAGCTGAGTTCGGGCGGCTTGTTCTCGTTTGTTCACGAACAGCTCGATTTGTTGTTCATTAGTCGGTCGCTCGAACGCCGGAATGTACAACCGGTTATTAGCGCTGGTAATTATTTGTGGCAAGCAACATGCAACATGGCAGCGTTCTAGTGCATTCTTCGAGAGTTAATGTTGGATAACTGGGCTGACTTCTTTTCCATTTAAAAAAATCATTTCTGTCAAGGAAAATTATTAATGTTAATTTTGCAAAACGTTCCATTCTCTTCGGCTTTGTAAAGCCATATCGGTACTTTTTTGCGGCTGTTCAAAAATCAAATCTCACAAGTTTTTACGTGTGTTCGTGTAAAATCCTGACGAGGAGGTGGTGTGTGATCCTGTTCTGAGAACAGTGTTCTTGGGTCGTGTTCCCGCCGTTCGAGCGCGAGAACACGAAACCCGTGTCAAGAACGGACCGCCCGAACTTGACCATAGTGTAAGCAGGCGTGTTGGTTTTCGCGCAACACACTTAAGTGTGCGTGTGACGTGTTCACTTTGATACTCCATAGTACACGTTATCTGTGCAAGCAACCCTGGGAAGAGGGAGCGGCCTCTTTGGGCGAGTCCATTTGAGCTAACTAACGTTTATTTTATTATTTTTTTATTCCAAATGCCACAACTACTTGTCATATCATACCCCTGTTCATGCTGAAAACCCTGGTTTAGTCACATTACAGCCAGGGCCTCCCCTAGCCAGCCTCCAGCCATTTCCCATAGGACTGTGTGCTAAGTGGTACTTTGTGTACAATCTAATGGGTTGTTTACAAAACGGTGCCTGGGGCAGGCACTGGAATGTTTTTTATCAGTGACAGCTGTGTGGAACTTGTCAGAGGCCTCTTTCAGCTGTCTCTGAAGTGTTATTTTTGTTGGGGGGGTGTTGTGGTGGTGGTATGGCTTGGCCGGCGCGTGGCGCCCCCCCCCCCTCAAATCGAAATAGCCTGGGAAACGCCCCCCCCACGGTACTGTGATGTACTTTTGGTGGTTTGTAAGAGCTGTAGAGGCTAGGGGACAACCACTGAAGCATTAATATACCTTTAGGACGGACTCAGGGCTCTGCAACCCTGAAAAAATGAAACGGACTAACTGGAATAGTCCGCTCCAGCCACCGGGTGAGTAAAAATTCGTACTGCCTCGCAGGAGAATCAGCGCGTGAACGAACACGCTTGCGTAAGCCTAGTCCATTTGTGCGCTGTTCAAAATGACTTCACACCTCGGTACTAAGGCCGTTTTCCAATACTCAACTTCAGCTTCATCTCAGGCTTCATCTAAAGTACTGTTTTTTACTAGCTGACTGTGAAGCTGTAAGCGCAGTAATCAGTCTAGTAATGCCACAGAACATCCAGAAGTAACTCTAGCCAACATATTCCGATGCAGCCTTAGGCCGTTTTCCAATACTCAACTTCGTCTCCAGCTAAGGCTTCGTTCCCAAAACCAATCCTCGATTGTGGGCCTGAAACGTTTAAATTACATTGGATTACTGTAATTTTGGCTTTCTTATAGGCCTTTACTCCTGTAGAAATACGTGGAAACGCGTAGACATTAGATCTAGCTATAGCTCTGGAAGCCCACCATTTCGGACACGGCCAATACAGGTGTTTTACAATAGTGCGCTTCGAAGAGTTTGTAATGCGTGGGCCAATTAAATGCGCGAAATCTGTCGACCCAATGCTCGTTTAGAAATGATCGACAAACTTCGCGTTTTGTGATTGGCCAATGCGTTGCAAACTCTTGGGGGTGCACTATTGTGAAAATATTAAAACGTGTTTTTGCATTTGATTTGAAGAAATGCATCCACCCCCCTCATTAAATGAAACGTGATACACGTATAATAGCTGGAAGAGGTTTTAACTGTCTGTCTTTGAAAAAATCTCGTTTCTGATACGCCAAGCTGCGAATGATAAAAGGGAACACACACACACCGTATACCACACGATCGCTGGTGCTGACAAGAGTGCAGTCAGGACCTAGGCATTTTTCGTAACATGTGGATGGACAGGGAAGCGTAGGCAATGGCTTACAAAGAGAGTTGTAAACAAAATGGTGAATTATGTATCGATCGATTCACATGCTGCACACAATAGCTGCATGCTGTACTGTACAAATAATGAACAACCATTTTGTTTCGGATGTAGGAGCTACGCTCTAAATACCCCTGTGGGTGCATCACTACAAGTAAATTCCCATAGACAGCAGTGATAAATCCCCATACTTCAAAAAAATTTTTAAAATACTCAGGACTCTCACAGGTGTTCAGGCTGCACAGAAAAATGATGTTCCACATGTCCTCTTTTATTTTTCGTCCAATTTTTAGTAGGTTGACAAATGACTTTTTGAGAAATTCTCACCCAAAGTAGACCACCCCTAAAACGAAGGAAATTTCACTGCCCAGAAAAGTAGCCATTTTGAAAATGCATCCCCTCTGCAAAATGGCTCAAATAGAGTCACTTTCGGACCCAATTGCATCCAAATTGCTCGGAATTGGAAGCCCTGAGTCCGGCCCAGAGGTACAGTGCCATATTTTTTCAATGCCCCAGTTCCATGGCTCTCAGGACCCTCTAATATAGAGTATTTGAGTGTATAACCTTTATTAATGAGCTCGGCGGACATATTTCTGGCCTTTTTTGCAAGGGTGTACCCTTTTGAGGTCGGATGTGGAAGAACGCCCTCTGTTGAGTAAACCATTCCAATGCAAACATATCCAGCTAGGCGATGCCCCGCTTTAGCCAGTGTTTTTTAGTTATGGGAAATCCCTCTCATTGCAACTGTAATCAGTACTGCATGCCGATCTGATTCTCAGCTAAAGGTGAGTACAGCATATTTATTTCAATTTCCAACCATTAGCAAGCAAAAGATTTCTCCTCTCAATTCTAAATTTGTTAACATTTGGGGATTGAATGAAGGTTTAAGGCCTGCCTGAGGACTGAGTGCAACTCGGTTAGATCCCAGCCCGAGTTAATAATAATAGTGGGTATTATAATAGCGCACATATCCATAACAACTGATGCTCATGGCCCTGTATTATAATGTACCCGCACGTTGGGCTCATAACAGTTAAAATGTATGTTGAGTCTGAAACCGGAAAATGAACATTTCGTACCAGAGCAAGATGGAAACAAGGGGAATGGCGTGAGCCGTGGTGTAAACCTCTGTTGGAAATTGGAGGATGGGAGAATGGGAAAGGTGGGGGGAATGACTTGCCCGGCTATGGAAAATTAAAAAGGGGAGGGGGGAATACCATATACACTCTATGGGCAAAAAGGGGGATGATTCAATAGCCCACCCCAACCTCAAATTTGGGGGGATAGGCCTATGCTCACTGATATGATTCGAAGTATAGGCACATATCCGGCGATCAAACCCCTCCTCTTTCTCAGACACACACACACACAATAAAAAACTATTACAGTTATTTGAACAAAAATCCGTTTAAGGGTTAGGCCTATTGTTTGTACATTACTTACAATGTAATGAATTGCCTGTGTCCGCAAAAATCGGACAGAACAAAAAATTGAGGGTCTGATTATGATTTTACACGCGGCAGGAAACGTTACAAAACACTGACTCAAACCAAAGAAATGCACGACTTTGTCGGCGGTCTTCAACCGCTGAAGTACATCAACGCCATTACTTCTTTGAGGCAAAAGTTCACATAATTATTCACCTGACCCTTCATTAGATGCATTTCAAAGGTTTGAGCGGAGGAGGAAGCAATGTGAAACAGCTTGCAGTAACACCTAAAAAGGAATTCTCTCTTTCCCACAAGAGAATTTCTCGGGATATTTCCTGCATTGTTCCACCTCGAACAGGCTTTTCATCATTTCCAGACCCTTTTAATTCCACTCCCCAATTCCATACATGCTATAATCGGCACGTCAATCAAACAATAATAAAGTGTAGAAAAGCCCCAAGCGGGTATCAAAATACCGTTTTATAACACACCACCACTATAAAAGTAATAAGACAAAAGAATTTTTTTAGGTAAAATATGACACCCCCAAGGGTTCAAGTTTTGGCGGCAATACGAAAAGTAGGCGCAATGAGCTTGCCCTAGCTCTGTATAGAAAACATTAACCATTTCGGTGACAAATTCGACTTCGAGGGAAATTTGTATTGACTTGCCGTTTCCTTCAAACTCTAAATGCTGCATTCTGTGTATTTTCAACGTCAGTTGAATTTAAAATATTCGCTAAACTCTCCTTCAGAGAAATGGCATGTTATATCTCGCAAATAAGTTGAAACAAATTTAACATTCTGATTTCGACAAATGCCCCCCAAAAGATGTGTATCGGGTACAAAATGACAGCACAGGCCAAATTGATGTCTTAATTAAATTGATATTGTGATTGACTGTTTTTCAAGTTTTCCTCAGTCAATATGCACAAACTGCTGCGGATTACCCTAAGGACATGAAACGCCATCACGATATGAATCCATGAAACTATCTGAACCCATCGTTTAGAACGGGGCGTATATTTTGGTTCACACTGTATGTTGATGTTCATGGTTGTCTGATGGTAAACAGTTGTACTTATGGGTCATTTTGTACGAACACTTCATCAGAAGCAGCTGCAATAATGGTAAAACTGCTGAATTTTTAAGGTTCTCCTTCAGGCTGAAAGTGCACGTGTATGCAACCAACACAGACTCATTAAATTTTCATATTCCCGTGTCCGTGTTAACATGACTTGTTTTTACGCTTGAGTGGGTTGATGATAATTGTGAAATGAAATTATTCGTATCCAGTTTTTTTCAGTTTGTACGCTCCAGCTAAGGGAGGGGGGTTTCAGAAAAATTGTGAAAAATGTAGAAAAATTGAAGGCTACTTACATTCATGACCCACCAGTCACTGATTATTCGTGGTTCTAGTCATTGCAAGTATGTGTATACAGTACACAACGTGAATGTGTAAATTATCGAGGCCTGGACACCTGCTACAGTTAAAAAAAACCTGGGTAAATAGTCATTTCGGTTTAGTTTTTCAAAATGCTTTTTCCATGGCGTAAAGCAGTGAGCTAATACATAACTGCTTTGTTGGTGCAAGCAAATCCAGTGGCCACGTCATTTCTTCTGTAGTGCAACTGGAAAATACTTAACATATTTTTGTTATTGTAAAACGGGCAAGCATCTAACTTGAATTATCTTATCTGTGCTTTTACATATCTTGGGAAAAGTCTATTGGAACACAAATATTGGCATTTATAGCGTTCTCTAGACGATTATTTTCAGTGATAAACTCTACGGTGTTTTTGATATCACTCCATAGCTATTAATACCGAATTAATATTAATGTCAATACAAGGAATTTGTACAATGTACTCTACAGAACTGAAAACAGTGTGAATTGATCTGTCGACATAGAAAGATCGACGCACGCTGTGTTCAGTACATGTACATGAAATAAATGTTCAAATTTGCATCATACTGATACAATAGCAGCACCCATAGCAAATTTTAATGAAGCAAACTTGCACCCCAGTTTGTGCGTGTGCACCCCTACTTGGGTGCATGAGCGCACCTTCAGGGGAGCATACATCATATAGTCTGCATGGACAGATTTGCAACTTAATTATGCAAAATGCATTCTTGACATATTTGTCGTAACATTCAAAGTCAGTCAAAGGACCCTACATACCTGTGTACTGGGGCAAGTGGAAGACTTTTTTACTGTCTGTGATTGTTACAGCGAAAGGAGGGTTATTGGTGATATTTTATAAGGGTGCAATTTTGAAGCTTTATTTCTTCGAGTGTAACATGAGGAGTGTATCTAACCATGGAGAACCCACACGCACACCCTGCACACAGTCGTTCGACAGGAATATGCAAAAATGTAATTACATGTACAAGTAATTACTGCTCTTCCTTCATACCTAGTGGACCCAGATAAAAACAACCACACGGCATACCTGCAGGTAGTATTTACTTAAAGTTTGTCCCAACTGGCAGTTAATCTGGACTCATGTCTTTCACCTGTTATCTCTGAAACAGTTTCATCTTTGAAATTGTAAACACAACTCACAAACCTTAACTTAAAAGTTTGTGCCAACTGGCAGTTAATCTGACCTTGAGAAAAATGTAAAAAAAATGAAAGGAGTTGCAACAAGTCTGCTATTGATCAGTTTGCCAGTCTGACTCGAATTCCATGATTCCGCGAAGGAGGGCAACAATTTTGGGAGCGACAGTCGTTTTCTTCTCCTTCTTGCCTCCGGTCTTTGTGGTTATCACTGGGCCCTCTGGGTTGATGCCAATCAGTTCCCTAAAATACAATCTGGCATAAGAATTTGCACATTTCTAAATATATCAGAACTCAAAGGTCCGGCTGCCACAGAGGGAACAATACACCACTCTTCAAAATGGGGGAGGGGTGGGTGAACAATGAGAATGCTGAGAGCAAGGCAAACAATGGGCGGTGGGAATGCCTTCCATATAACCCGTTCACAGTGTATGCCCTGGTAAGCCCATAGGAACCTGTCTTTTTTCAGATACTGGCTCAAGATTAATTAACGTGGCAAGAGGAATTTTGACAAATCATAATACGAGAATGATGCATAAAAACATATCTTTCATTTATGTTATTCCTTTCATCCACGAAGCATTGTAGCAAAATACAGACAATTATTATTTGGGGTATGACAGAAAAATAAATTCTTGGAAATAACGCAAATTGTTCCGATTTTTTTCATTTCCTTTCTTTTAATTAAGAATGTTTATTAAAATGAAAGTCTGAAATTAACAAATTTCCCGTTAAATAACATGAAATACTACATTTCAAATAAAATAAATGAAAAATTAGACTGAAACCATTGGTTTCGTTGCTGTTAGGATTTTTGCTTTAAATAACATTTCTAGTAGAATAAATAAAAATTCTGTTGAAAGCCAGTTATTTCGTTTCTCTGTAAAATTACAGGTTGTTTGCGATTAAAATGATTTACAAACAATGTCGTAAGAAAACAAATCTTTTATTAAAACGAGGATTAGTTTAAATTCACGAAGTACACTGAAATTATAGAACATCTGTATATGATGTCTGAAATTATACAAAATGTCTTGAAAACAACAACAAAATAATGTTTTTAGAAATCTGTTCTGTTAAAATGGAGAAAATTTCCAGTTAAAACAATTTAAAGAGTGATTCTGTAATTTTGTTTTCTGTAAAATCTTCTGTGTTTTAACCGTGTAGGTTTCCATCCTCCATGGTTTCAGTGCCACCCGCCCAAGTCGAAGACGAATACAAAAGTACAGTAAGTTCACATGAAGTTTATCATTGAAACTGAGGTCTATCTGTCATTATAACATTGACAGGAAATGTTGAAATTCACGGTACATATCCCCAGTTTTACATGTACTATACATGTATAAACCACAGGAACACGTACACCGACTCCGACGAGAATTTCCACGTGCATGTATATGCACGATATACGTCACGGTCCGCGTGTAACATGACAATCCCACGTATACTGTGTTCGGTCCGCATATACTGTGCATGCATTTAGTTTGTGTATTCGTGCATGCGCGATAATGACATAATGGTCTTCGGCCTGAAAAAAAAATTACTCTAGCATAACATATATCGGCGGTGACCCATGTGAGAGATTGTACTGCTATTTCTGTTGAAGACCTTGTGTGTGAATAAATTGCCAAGAGTCTGTTAAATGGTGATATTTAATTTTCGTTTTTTTCACCTAGCTCTGTGTCTAATTTTCACAATTTTGCCGAGTTTACCTTCGAATAACTTGGATGCCACGTGAAAGAGTAGTATTTCTTATGTATAAAAAATGTTATTACTTCTTGGAAGAAAACTGTTTCTGAAAGTCTTTTCGTTTTTCATTGGGGCCCATTTTCGTCATTTTCCGTGTTTTTCACCTTACTTAGTACCCAGTTTTCACACTTTTGTCGAATTCCCCTCAGGTCATCAGTGATACTGTCTGGAAGACTGATAATTTTTTGGTATCTATCAGTTAATTCTTTTCAAGATCGACAGCCATTTGAAATGCAGTTCGTTTTTCATGCGGATTCGAATTTCCGCACCGACTGTGCCATCGGTTAAAAATGAAATGTCCGGATTTTTGGCATGTTGCACACGTCGCACACGGACCGGGATACGAGTGCGGTTGGGTACGAGTTGGCCTGCTGCATTGCACGAATACGTACAATAACGTCAAACTGCGTGAGTAAAAGGCACCAGCAAAAACTTTCCGGTTTTCATCCATACTGTTTCCTCTTGCATGATACTTTCTCAATAGAGCGTTCATGATATTCCTCACTATTCACAACTAGAGAAATGTCAGGGAAAACTCGGCAAAACTGAAAAAAAATCCCCTCTAGAATGTTGGCTCCACTTCCAACTTCTGACTCTGTTACGTCGGAGGTACGTAAGAAAGACGGGCAAAAATTTGGCAGAAAAAGGATTTTTATAGTGTGCAAGTTATCAAAAGGGACTTTGAGTGTTTAAATGCTAATCAGTATAGAAATAAGGGGCAAACAATTTTTTCTGAGCTTGATGTTGATCAATTACTGCTGGGGTTCACCTAGTGTCCAAGTCAAGAACCATTTTACTGGTTTCTGGCTGTAGTGGGATTCAGTGCGCATGCACACAAACTAAGTAAGGGGCATGAACATACGTGATCCGCAGTGTCCGCAGTGCTCGGTACATGGCTGGATAGGTTTTTGCATGTGAACACGTAGATCACGCTGCGCAGAAGTATCATATATTTAACTCATGAAAGTCGAACAAAAAAATCTAGCCTGATAGAACTGATTGTATTGTGTCGCTGAGATTCTGGACTGTCCCGCTGTGCAGTGTCTCGTTCTGGGAAAACTTCTGAAATTGAGAAATTTAGTGGAAAAAAGACCAAGAGATCGGTTGAAAATGGATATAGTTTATCATCTTAGCAACCACTTTGAGGCTAAATTTCATATTTATGTAGCATTTCTTTTCATGATTCTGTGGTGTTTTATTCGGTTTAAGTCTTCTAAAGCACATACAAAAATAGTTTCAATGTGATCGTTTGTTAACTAAGAAAACACGTCAAAAGAAAAGCGAATACTTCACGTCAGCCATAGAAGAAAACAAAAGCAATTCATGTACTATGCTGTGAAAAAAGCTAAAGGAGGTTCTCCCAAAGATTCAGAAAAGTGTTCCAAACTCCATCCTTTTATTTATTTTTTTTTTCTTTACAGTGGAGCTATATGGCTCCATTTATTTCATCCACCATTCACATTAATTACAGGAACCAACTTAATTACATGAACATCATTACAATTATAAATTAAACAGGAAAGGCAAATGTACATTTAAAAAAACATGGCAGACAGTACTACAGAAAAATGCACAAAAGAAACCCAAAACAAAAAATGAAAAGGAATATCAAACAGGTAAGTCTCCCCAAAATCTCAACAGTCAAATTAATAATTGAATTTTACCCGCGCATTGGCTTCAACAGAAAAGAGGACATTATTTTTCTCGTAATTCTCTTTGAAATTTGCAGTGCTCAGTCTTGTGAATTCTGAAAGTAGAAAACTTTTTAAATTTTGTTTGAACTGAAAAATTATGTCTATATCTAGAGCAGACTTATAATTATTGAAAGCTCTTTTACATCTGCAATTCCATATCTGCCTAAGCATTTTTGTGACAACCACCTGTGGGACTGGGTCTAGGTCATAGCAAAAAACTCTGTTGCAATCATTAACCCTAACAGTCCCAAATCCTCCAATTTCAATACGATTTTACATACACCCTTGGGGGTTGGGGTTAAGGTGAAAATATTTGTCTCCAGCATACATTCTTAACAGACGTTCGACGAATATCCAGGCTGCCATAGTGCAGGTATAGAATATCAAAATATGTTCATGGGATTCAGGCTCCAGTTTACAAAGAGGACATATGATGTCATGAACTTTGCCTATTTTATACAGAACGTCCTTTGTAGGCAAAATGCGGTGTTTCACTTTATAGAAGAATTGCTTATCATCAAGGTCCATAAGTGAGTTACTAATACAACTTTTCCAAACAATTGACCCGCAAGATGAACAATATTCAGAACATTGAGCCACACTTGCTGTGCTTTTGGTTCAACAAATTGCTGACGGACCAGATTTCTATAATTTGTCCTCGAGCTGTTTTCCTGAATAGATATAGGACTGTTTGCTAAATTGTCCACGGTAAACCAATTGCAGGTATGATTGGGGGGGGGCCTGTCTCTGTTCTTCAACTAAAGAGAAATCAATAACCTCATTTATTCTAGATATGATTCTACCGGCTGTAATATTCATGATTTTACATTTCCTAACAACTTCACGAAAAGAAATTAGGCGACTGTTACGAACTATGTCCTTAACGAGGGAAATCCCAGCATTTCGAAGAACATTGCTATGAAAAGTAGAATTATCCACAGTAGCATAAACATTATTATACAGAGGAAGACCGTTTGTTTCTAAAAGATACGAAAAATTAGTATTGATCTTCCCTCTGGCCCAATGAAAGGCACAGATAACATCGACATAAAAAACTTGTTGTTTCTAGGCGAACTTGGGGGTTGCCAAAAATGTACCACCCTAAATTACTATCTCCACTGGCTCAATAGATCCAATAGTCAAAGGAAGCTTTCCACATGCCACTAGAGTTAGCATATCGGACAAGCCACTAATGACGCCAAGCCTTCTACACATATGGAATAAAGCAATGGAGAAAGAGGGCATCCTTGCCGAATACCCCGCGTAACTTGTATTGGCACACCAATAAAATTGTTTATGATGATACTACAGTTGGGATTACTGTATAAAAGTTTTATCCAATTAATCAACTTGGGAGGAACCCCTACTTTTTCAAGGACGGAGAACATATAAATCCAATTGATGCGGTCAAAAGACTTTTCTTGATCCAGACTGATATCAGCTCCTTTTAAACTATAATCCAATTGACATGATCAACAGCATCCCTGAGGATCATAAGATTATCCTGTCCTAGAAGGAACACCACACGATTGCTCCTCGCCTACAATAATAGGCATGATAAGTTTCAACCTGTTGGTAATAACTTCAGACAAAATTTTATAATCCACATTCAAGAGACTTATTGGGCGCCAATTTTTCAAGTCATGTTTGTTACCTCTGTTTTTGTAAACTAGACGAATTAAAGCCGAATTTATGGAATCGCACAGAAGCCCGGTTTTATAACAGAAATTAAAAACATCCAAAACGTCTGAGCCTATGACATCCCACACGGAATGGTAAAAATTCCACTGTGGGGCCATCCAGCCCAGGAGATTCATTCTTGTTCATCTGGAAGTGAGCACACTTGATTTCATTTTCAGAGATATCAATGTTCAAAAATTCCTCCAAATCATCCAGAGTGTACTTAGATTCTACTTGGGAAACAATTTGCTGCAAATCCTGCTCTGAAATGTCCTCCGCAGTGTACAAATTCCAATAAAAATTAATAGCACAGTCCAACATATCAGCAGGCGCGCTAACAAGGTTACCCTCAAACGTCAAAAAATTGTCAATTTTGTTTCTTTGAATCTGTTCTTTCTCCAAATTGAGAAAATATTTCTAGGGCTTTTCGCTTTCCTCCTTAAGAATGTTTCTCAATCTGATTCTGGCTCTTTTCCATTCCACGATCTCGTAATTCAGCAGGTGAGATTCAATGTTTTGGATGTCTTCAATTTTACATTTATCAGGATTGTCTATCACAAACATGTATTGCCTTTGTAACGCAATTCGTCTTCGATTTCTTTCCCATGCCATTTCTCTACCCAAATCCTGAATATTTTTTCTAAATCGAAATTTTCCCGTTTCCCACCATTCACGGAGAGAGTCAAGGTACTCTTTTAGAAATCTCCAAAAATACCAAAAATTATCCAATCTGTCGAAACAATCCTTGTTGCCTAAAAGGCTGTTGGTGCAAATCCAACGACCATTGCCATGCTTTGTATCTTTGTCTTTCAATCGCACGTCAACAAATCGGGGGTCAGAAAAACCATTTACATGCAAGGAAACATCTAGGATACTATTCAACAGATTTGAAGAAATGAAAACATAATCAATTCTGCTTCCCGTTTTAGTGGCTTTATGAAAATGAGTTAGGCCAGGCAAGTCCAGGCAAGTCCAGGCAAGTCCCTGAGCAAATTTTGTAAATTAGTCTTAATGTGATCCACACCATTAACATTATCTACATTACAATTGAAATCCCCTCCCAAAGTCCAAATATCAGTTAGCTTAATACGCTCAATTAAACCGT